TTGTCATCTCAAATGAGGCTTCCATTAGCTTAGTGGGAATGGGTTGCATTCAGTTGAGTTGTTGGCCAAGGGAGTCCCATGTAAATCCTCAAACAACCCAGACTGCTGCTAAGACAATGGGTTCCTCTCTGTAAACCAACAGAAGGGCCCATTGTAGAGGACAACTCATTGAACATGGAAAAGTCCAGCTGGTGCCTACATGGCTCCATCCCTACTTTCTAGTTAGTGTCTTTGGTGAGGGAAGGCACTCTTCAGGTTACCAAAAGAGAAGCATACACACCAACTCACTCACAAAATCTTTGATGTACAATATGTCCTGCCTGTAAGATGTGCTAGGGCAATGGTGTCAAAGAACTTGTGGGAGTCACCAATCAATATCTGATTTGACTTAAGGCCCACTCCACAAGACAGAACCCATACCCAATACTGTTTGAGTGACCAAGAACCAGAGACTAGATAGCCCAGAGATTTAGAGCAAAACCAAACACTACTGTTCTAAAAAAAAAAAAGTATCAAATAAATGACTCCTAGTGAGATTCTGCTATACTCATCAATCAGTGCCTTATCCAGTCATCATCAGAGAGGCTTCCTGTGGCAGTAGATGGGAACAGATGCAGAGACCCATAGCCAGACATTACTTGGAAAGACGATCTAAATGGAAAATCTCCAACAAATTCCTCCCTCAAGAGCTCATGGTTGCTGAAGAGGAGGTGGAAAGAATGTAAGAGTCAGAGGGGATGGAGGACTCTAGGAGAACAAGGCCGTCTGAATCAACTGAGCAAGGTGCGTATGAACTCACAGAGACTGAAGCAGCAAGCACAGGGCCTACAAGAGGCTGCATTCCTCTGCATCCATATTTTAGCTTTTAGCTTAGTATTTTCCCATCATTCTGAGATTTATTCATTAATTGATTCACCTATTCAAAGCATAGTAGATGTCTGTAACTGGCTATAAATAATGAAAAATGCATGTGATCTGTATGTTCACAAAGCAGGAAGTCTTGATGATGAAGCAAACTGAAATGTAAGTGGAGAGCTGGACATGTGGATAGAGCACCACAAGGGAAAAGATGATGCTTATGATAGCACAGAACAGTGTAGAACTTTTATAGGACTCCTGAGTGTGAGGATGAGTGGGTCTCTGATTCTTGTGCCTCCTCTTAGGACTCTTTTCCTCCTGTTGGCTAGCCTTGTCCAACTGTGATATGACGGCTTTTGCTTTATCTTATTATATTTTATTTTGTCATATTTGGCTGTTATCTCTTAGAAGCCTCTTCTTTTCTAATGAGAGACAGAAAGGAAGTGGATCCAGAGGGGACAGGAGGTGGGGAGGAACTGGGAGGGACAGAGAGAGGGGTAACTATAATTAGGATATTGTATGAGAAAAAAATATATTTTCAATAAAAGGAAATTTTTTTTAAAAAGTATTTGAGTTAGCTTTAGTGACATTTCATGCTAAAACCTCAATACATAAGTAATTATTTTTAGCATACTAGCAATGAACAATTAAAGGTGGAGAAAATTAAGTTACCATTTCAAGAAACAAGAGACTCATGGACAAATGTAAAAAAGGTATGAACTCTGTCTGCTGCTGCCTACACAATTTGATGAAAGAATTCAAGACCAAGATAAACAGAAAACATGGCTGTGCCTCGTCAGATGAGACTTAATGCAACAAGGATGTCCTTAAACACACAACAGAATTCCAGTCAAAATCGTGGCCACTTCTAAGTCAGAGGCAAGGTCACCCCAAAATTTTGGGGAGATGCAAAGGAGATGGAGCCGTGAAATCATTTTGAAAGGGAAGAATGAATTCCGGAGGATCATGCCTTCAGATTGTGAGAATCACTGCACAGCAGGAGCCAACCTGGTGTACTTGCCAGCAACGGAAACAGATGTCATGGGCAACAGCCGATATGAATTCCCACACATGCATTTCAAAGAAGTAATTCTCATTCAGTGGAGGACAGGGGACATTTTCATCAAATGGTCTTAAAACTATTCGCATTCATACAAGTAAACATGGACCTGAGCCAAAACCTCACAAAAGTAAAACTTATAATGGGTCGCAGATCTAAATGGAAAACACAAAAATGTAAAACTTTTTAAAATTAATTTTTATTTAAATTAAAAGCAATCGTATCTCAAAAATGTAAAACTTTTAAGAGTACATTCCAGAAGAGCTTCGGCTCTGGAGCTGCATCAGGGTTCTTAGACTCCCACAGGTGTGAGGCACAAACTACAAAACCAGCAAGCTGAATTGTATCAAACTGAGATCTTCTAGCTGCAAAGCTTCCATGAGGAGAAGGTGGAGCCCAGAAGGGCCTGGAGAAGATATCTGCACAGTATGCCTGGCAGAGAATTTGAACTCATTATATGCAAAGACCTTTTGATGCTCCCATGCAAGAAAAAGATTTAAGTTAGAAATATGTAAAAATTATGAACAAAAGTTTCACAAGATAGATTATTCAGACAAAACAAACAAACAAACACACACTCTGGCATGAAACCAGCTTAGCACCATAAGCTGTCGGGTAAATGAAAACCAAAGCCACTGAGAAATATCACCACACACCCATTAACATGATTAAAACCAGCAGAAGCAAAGAAAGCTGGTGAGGACACGGCACAGACAGTGTCTCATGCACTGCGGGTAGGGACTCAGGCCGGCCTACTGCTGTGGGGAACAGATCCACAAATTATGGTCCATGTCTTACTACTCAGCAATGGAAAAGAAACTCCTGACACACTACTGAGATGAACTCTCAGGAATTGTGCTGAGTTGCAGGGAGTGGAGGAAGCCCTGAGTGCATGTGTGTTGACATGACATGGACATGTCAAGAACCCTGTAGCCTCAGACCCATCTTTTTTTTTTTTTTTTTTTTTTTTTTTGCCGAGACAGGGTTTCTCTGTGTAGCTTTGGAGGATGTCCTGAAAATCTCTCTGTAGACCAGGCAGGCTTCAAATTCACAGAGATCCACCTGCCTCTGCCTCCTGAGTGCTGGGATTAAAGGCGTGTGCCACCACTGCCTGGTTTCAGACCCATCTTTTAATGGCAAAGCCTTTTCCTCTGGGGTGTGGCTTGGAGGGAAATGGCAAAGTCTTCCCTTTTGGTCTGTGTGTGGATAGTATGTGCAGAAAATGTTCTCCATAGTTTTCTCCATCCTATCTCATCCCAACCTTATGGCTTGCAGACTGCTCCCCTAAGGACTACACCTACTGAGATTAGCTGAACCTGTCTCCTTGACTCAGCTGTGCACCATAAACCCCACCTCCTTTTTTACCTGTATGCAACAGCCCAGCCTCTGTTCAACCATATATAATAAACATATTGTGCTTCTGAGGGCCTGCGGTTTCTCCAGAGAGGCCAGACCAACCCACCACAGCTTTCTGACTTCGTATCTGTCTTTTCTTTATTCCCTAGATGCCCAGTCAGGTCAATTAAGGAGCAGTGATGGACTAGGAGCCAGTGAAATGCTGGCTCTGAAAGAGCAAACAGTAGGACTCCATGATCACAACTCTTCTCTGTGGAGAGACAAAGCCAGCAGTGCAGAGGTTTTGTCTGTGGTTGCCTGAGCACCTGGCTGGGACCCAGCCCTTGGAGGTGGTGCAGCGGCCTTGGGTCTGACAGCAGGGCTATCACACGAATCCAACTATATGCTAAAATATATAGATTGGTACATAAAATCCAGATTCTATGAATTGTAATTAAGAAGTATGAAGAAAAGAGGAAATAATATTGTTTGAACTCTGTGTGAGGGGAGTCATGAGAAATGAGACCCAACAGTGAGCTACAGAAGCTCGAGCCACCTGCACAGAATCTGGGTCACCTTCAACAGTTCACGATCATCTTGTAAAGGTGAGTTGGTGTCAACTTACAGAGAAATCCCCCACCCCCCCAAAAAAACCCACCTAAGGATAAAGGAAGTCAAACAATCGACTATTCTCATTTGAGAAGTGGAGGAGTCTGGCATGGAGCAGCCCACAGCAGCCTCTGTCCGAAACCTGCTCTTTTCTAGGCTGCTCCTCTTTTTACAGCAGTAACCTGAGCAGCAGGGAGCTCAAGGGACTTCACATGGCATGGAGACAGGGTAGTAAGGACCACATTTTTACTCACACGCATCACTGAAACCATGAACTGGGCTGAAATAATGAGAGGCCGAGGGAAAACTTTCAGACCATGCATTAAGATTTCCTTGGCACCCCAACAAGAGCTTCCAATGTTCAGGAACTACCCGTTTATGAAAATGCTTAGTCATTCAGTCTTCTCTAACTGACCCCGAGAATCACTGTGGCTTATAATACTTGATAGTTCCCAACTCCACAGTGATTTATGCACGGGAGGCAGATCAGTCTTGGAAAACAAGCCTTTTCCCCATGCCTGAACGTCCTGAACAGCAGTGATCAGCTTTTTGTCTTTCCTTGCTTCAACAGCATCATCACTCAAGAGGAGGAACCAAGGTTAATTCCAGTCTGTGATGAGTATGGCTGAATAGAGCCCTAGAAATATCTCGTATCCACCAGGCACCTGCTTTGCATGTCTCAAGCACTCTACCTGCGAAGCCCAAAGGGGCATTTACCTTCCTGGTTACTAGGTAGTTTTTCCACTCATAACTTTGGCCTAAGGTATTTGTGTCTCAGCTAAGACAAAGATATGAGAGAAGGTTTCCATAGAAAGTATATTCTTGAATGTTCTAGAATTTCTACTCCATTGGAGTATACTGCTCTTAAAAATGATTATTGTTAGTTAGACTAACTCTCGAGAAACATTCACCAGCGTCACCTTCTTTCTCTCTGTGCACATTAACAGCTGGTGATCCATGTCTTATCCCAAATAATGACAAGCAAAACAGAAGAATTCCATCTCCAACATTAACACTTTCTTTTTACTTCAAGAGTGGCCAAATGCTGTCTTGGTGACACCACCATGAGGTCATGAAGACCCCCTCATCTTCTGTTCACGCCTGAATGGGTGGTTTGGGGACAATGAGGTCCACATACCTTCTAGCAGGTCTCTGGCCAGACCAGGTTCTGCCCCCGTGGACCGAACAAAGTCTGACAGGACTGCGTCCATATCAAGCGTCATAGGATCATGTAGAAGTGCTGCCCAGCACTCAGCCGAGGGCGGGTTTGGAAGCAGGCTAGAGACCATCCATCTGCAGGAAACAAGAGAAGGGCATCTCACCATGCAGTGGACCAGAGGGATGTGCATGCACACACACACTCTCGTACGTACACACACACACACACACACACACACACACACACACACACCAGAGTCCCAGCAGTCAGAAGAAATCCCTACCACCTTCAGTGTACAGCTCTGAATTAGTTTTTTAATAATTCCCTTCCCTTACATGCAAGCTGTTACATCATTAAAGCCACACTGAAGCATCAGTCTTCAGTAGCACTGTGAGATGGGGCACTGGGATCTGTGCTGTGCTTGTAGTATGCTGAATCCTAATCTGTTGGCTGTTAAGAGAGACTCCCAGTTCAGTCCTGGCTAACTGGAGCTCCTTGAGTTTTCACATTCACAGAGACAGCCCCACTGCTTTTACAGGATGTCAGATGTCCTGAACAGAACAGCTGCAGGCAGAGGGACAAGATGGGTGCCTGAAACAGCTGGAGAAAGCAGCCTTGGGTGTGTGTGTCACCTGGGGAAAGCAGTTTTGGAGCTACTTGTGTTCTCAGCGAGGGAACAGATGCATCAAGCATCATGTAGATGACCATTTATGGCCCTCTGTCTGTTTTTATACATAAAGTTTTATTGGAAGTCAGTTTTGCTAGCACATGAATGAGTTGACTAGCAGAGACCATCAAGTCCACAGAATTAAAGTCATCACCTTGTGGGCTTTTAAGGGACGTTCACTGATGCCAGGACAGATGCTGTGCAATTTTATATCGTCAAGGGCGTGGTTAATTTTACACACTGCATGGCACTGTTGAATACTTTTTGCTCCTCCTTCTCTGATGATCAGGGGGTTGGAGCTCTCACTGGCCTTCTCTGGCTGATGTGACAGGGTGTTCACTGCTGTGAGGAGGGAAGAGGGACACTCCTAAAGCTCAGGTGTCAGGCAGGAGGTCATAATCTCAGAGCTAGCTGTTTGTAGTGTCCTATCTGCATCTGGTTCCTACTGTGGAGTAAGATTTGGTTGGTGTGGCTAAAAATGATGAAATGGTTTTGACCTGATGTATGTGGCACCAGTTAGGAGACTCCTTCCTCCGCCTCAAGCACCGCAGCTTCAGCCACAAGAGTCTCCTCTTCTGTCACTGCCACCTGGGGACAAATGAGAGCATAAGGGCATGTTATCTCCTCTCCTGTGCTTTGCTCTTCATCAAAGGAAGCTGCTAAGGGGGAGGAGGGCAGTTGCTAAAGGCAGGCCCTTAGCTTCCTGCTTGCCATAGGCACTTCCTAGCCAGGAATCACATTCACAGAACACAATCATTCTAAACCTTGGTAGTAACTTGCGGGTCAATGCATTTAATCTGGGTTACCATTTTAACCTCATAGCTCAGTGACATTAGGTGCAGCTATCCACTTTTACCTCTGGAACATTTTGTCTGCCTAAATGAAAACTGGCCCCACTAAACACTGGCTCCCTAGTCCTGCTTCCCTTAGAACCTGGCAACCTCCATTTTACTGTCTGTCTCTATGAATGTGACTAGACACTCCTATAAGTAAAATCTCACAGCATTTGTCTTTTTTGTGATTAGCTTATGTCACTCAGCGTAAGTTCATCAAAGTTCATGGAAATTGTAGACTTGTCAGAATTTGAAGGTAAGTCCATATTGTCGATGGAACACTATGAACTTCAGATGCAAGACTTGGAGGAACTGAGTTGGATCTAATCTGAAAGTCTCTTCCTGGAGGATTAATTTCAATAGCACAGGAAGGCGATATGCAAGGGGGAAAAAAGAAAGTAATAGTCCTACCCAGCTGTGATGCTTATGAACCACAACAGTGACCAGCACATTATGACATCCTTAAAGATACAATTGTAATGTGAATAATAAAACCCAGAGACATATATTCATGTTCAAGCCGAAGATCAGAAAAGCAAAGCAGCCAGGCCATCAGCTCTTACCTCTATCAGGCTGAAATGGCATTCCTGCCTTCACCAATCCTCAGAGTGCAATGCCTTCCCTGTCTGGAAACTAAACCTCACATGAGACCCTTTGCTTCTTCCTTTTATACCTCCCTACTGTTGGGATTAAAGGCGTTAGCTCTGTTATTCTTTTTGGCTGATTCACACTCTCGTGTAACCCAGGGTGGTCTTGGACTCACAGAGATCCACCTGCCTCTGTCTCCTGAGTCCTGGGATTAAAGGTGAGTGGCACCACCATCTGGCCTCTATGGCTAGCTCATATGGTTGCTGGGATTAAGGTATGGATCATCACTGCCTGGCTCTATGGCTATGGCTAGCTTTGCATTTTGATCTCCAGTGGCTTTATTAAATCATAAACAATATATCTCCACATACAATAGTGGCACTTATATCTTGATGGTAATCAACAGCTGTACAATTGCACTTATGACCACATTGTTATGACTACCTTGCTATAACCATATTGTTACAACTACCTTGTTATGATCACCTTGTTAAGACTACCTTGCAACAATGTCTTTGTTTCAGGAGGTTGTTATGGCCAACTTGTTATGCTTATGTTCTGTTTCTGTAAATCTACCTATTTGCCTTCCAAATCCTCCATTTTGAAACCCCCTACTCCTGAGCTATAAAAACCCTCATCTTATCCATGATCTCTTAAACCCTGCCTTTGGGAGAGACAGCCCTTGAACATGAATACAGAAAGCTTGCTTTGAGCTGGGTGGTGGTGGTGGTGGTGGCTCAGGCCTTTAATCCCAGCACTCGGGAGGCAGAGGCAGGTAGATCTTTGTGAGTTCAAGCCCAGCCGGTCTACCGAGCAAGTTCCAGGACAGGCTCCAAAGCTAAAGAGAAACCCTGTCTTGAAAAAAATCAAAAAAATCTTGTTTGAATTAATTAATTACTTGCTTTAATTAATTTGGTCATGATTTGGGTTGGTGGTTTTTCTCTAGACTCATGGAACATGGTGGAAGACAGGACAGAAAGATTGTAAAAGCCAAAAGACCAGGACATCTGCTATAAGCTAGTGCCTTCTAGACATGACAGGGAAGCTTCATTCATGAAATCTCATCAATATGATTGCTTAAACAAGACCAGCCAATGGCAACACCAGTTGATATGCCAAAGTGGATTGAGAAAATCTACCTCTAAACAAGGAACAACAAGCAACTGAGAGGGGGAAAATCAGTTTGGGTAACTAGTTATCCAAACACCAAGTGACCTAAAAAGATATACATATGAGCTAACTAAGTAGAAGCAATACGTTATATTTACATATTGATTCATATATCTCTTCCTTCCTTCCTTCCTTCCTTCTTTCCTTCCTTCCTTCCTTCCTTCCTTCCTTCCTTCCTATCTTGGTTTTTTGAGACAGAGTTTCTCAGGACAACCCTGGCTGTCCTGAAGCTCTCTTTGTAAACCAAGCTAGCCTTGAACTCACAGAGATCCACCTGCCTATGCTTCCCGAGTGCTGGCATTAAAGGCCTGAGCCACCACGTCTAGCTCTGACATTATATATCTATACACACAATATAAAATATATTTTATATATGGAATAAAACAAAAGAGGGCATGAATTTGAGGGGGGCATGGAGAGGAAATTATATAAGAACAGAACACATATATAAAATTTAAAATAATTTTAAAAGAAATGAGTACATGTATACTGATGAACGGAAGAGGACCGTTTCCAACATAGGCATGAGTCTTTGACTCTAGGGGATGGCAGATGTTTGAACTTATCCAGAATTGCTGACTGATGCTGGGAGGAAGATTAGGGACTCACATTTCTGCTGCTGTAGAAACATGCTCAGGGACAGCCACTTTCAGGTCAGGGCTGTCCAAGTCAGTGGGGAGCAGGACTCATGCGGGTCTTTCTGATGATGCAACCTGCAGAGCACAGGCATGAAGGCCTAGAGTAGCACAGACCTGGAGCATAGCCTAGTCTCGGGATCAAGTAAAGGCCCTGGGGTGGAGCACAGGCTGGGGGCCAGGGGCTCACCATGTGTGAACCCTCACTGTACCCTAACTCCCTGATTAGCCCAAATGAGTGGTTCCCTGGAGCCTTGATCTCTGGTTCTGAAAATGAGGCTAAGAACAGCTCTGCCTCTCAAAATTGCTGAAAGGAAGAAAGAAAATGATGTTTCATGAACACGCCCCATTGTTACCATTAATGACATGAAACACACAGATGTCTAGTATTGAGGATCTTTGCTCTATAATGGATACATGCACACATCCCTACTATGAAGACCAACATATCAAAAAGGGTCCTACATGCTTCAGTTCATCCTACACTGCGATGGAGGAGCCCATTCTGGTCAGAGGATCACAGACACACAGATAATGTTGGGGTATAGATGGCATCTCAGCTCAGATGTCAACATTCCTCAGTCCAGACAATCTGCTTACTCCATCCCTGGACAAGTTCAGTGACACTGGTTTCTGTGTATGTCCATCTCATTGGTGAGATAAAGCTTCCAGGGCGCTCATGGTTTTAGTGCAGAGGAAAATGGGGAGAGCCTTGAGATAAAAAGGCATGAGGCTAGCAAGGTATCCAATGTGCACAATCAACACTCAAAGCAAATTTCCATGTGCTTTGAGTAATGGTGGCTGCAACAAAACAATGTATCCAGAAAACTCAAACTAAAAAGCCCAGGGTGAGGAGGGAGGTGAGAGATAGCAAGACAGAAGGAATAGGCAGAGAGGCTGGAGAGTTGACAATAGACAGGGCTGCCTGTCAATCAAACAAAGGTGGCTATAGAAATATCTAATTCCCAGGATGCAGATTTTTCAGCTTGGCCACTTGGCCTCTTTCATCTTTTCCTGGATAAGGAAACAAAGATGGGCAGCTCCAGCTACCACTTAGGCCAAGATATGGAAGGAGGCATACGTGTGGGTTCTGAGCCCCAGATGCAGACGGGATGGAATGAGGCACAGTTTTTTAATTCAGGGACTACTGGTCCTGTGCCATGCCAGTTCTTAGAGCATAAGACAGGGTGGATTAACATACATGAGAAATTGGAGCACTAAAAGTTGTAAATAGCCA